ACTGAGCTGTATAATAACTGGAGGACCTGCTCCTATACTTCGTTCAGTCAACGAAGTGTCCGCAAAAACATGGCGGATTTTGATGAAAAATGACGCCATTTCCATGACAACACTTACTTTATTCTCATAGTAGTTACCACTGACCAGGCTCAATTCTGAGCCCACGGCAGTTTTCACACCCCCCTGGTTTTTGCAAAACATTTTTGCAGAATGATATAGTTCTCGATTTCTCGTTGTTTTGAATCCTTTTTTAAAATGTTTTCGAGATAAACTTTCTGCTTTGACCATTTGGTCAAAGATATCCAAGTGGTACGTATTTAATATCGCCCGTGAAAGACGACAAACCAATTTTAAAAACTCAAGAAATGTGGGAAAAGACGACTCTTGAAATATATGGATTTACACTCGGATTTACAAAGGTAAAAAACGTATTTTCATATTCAATGTAGACTTATATCTTATTTGACATTTATTATCAGACTATTTTTAAAAGAGGGAATTAGGTTTTGTGTTATGCAGTCCACTTATGTATAAGCTGGCTGCTGGAAGCTGATCTGGGAAGGTAGTTTCTACCTATAGCTTGGCTAGCTTTCTTGCATGGTTGGGGATACTTCTTCATTTTTGTGTCATATAAATAGTAATATAGAGGCTTGAGATAAATCACACTTCTCCCTAAGCTGAGGTAATAAGGTTTAGCTGAGGTATGTGCCAAGGCATACATGTGTGATCACACCTCATTCCCATGATGGCCTGTTTTCTTACAAGTTTTCTCAGTAAATATCACTCTGAATAAATAATGTACTTTTATATTAAGTACACTCATAGTTCTGATACCCCTGGTTTAAGCTGAGGAGTATATTAGGTCACATTCTTTTGTTTACCTTGATCATATGCTATAATTATGTTACTGGTGGATTCTTGTACAACCTGTATAATTCATCTATTCTTTTTTATTGCAGATTTATTCCACAAGCACACACTCCTTTCTGGGTGGCAAAATACAGTACCAAGCCATATCTTTGGAAACTGAACATACTGTATTTTACATGCCTACAGAAATTATGTCACCTTGACTAAAGGCTTAGGCTATAGAGTCATTTTCATGATTGAGACATTGGACTAAAACTCATGCCACATACATGAAAACAAGGCTCCATAGCCAAGGTGACATACAAATTCTGGAAGGGTGTAAGGTATCTTTTTGTAAAATTGTTAGCAGCAAACAATTTAACACAAAAATGTATAATTTTAATTGCTATAAAACTTATTTACACTTCAATAAAGTTATGATAATCATATAATTATTTATTAATTATAATTAATTGTTATGCATGGTATTATAATTATAACTTCATTTTGTAATTGTTCTGCATGTTCTTCTGTATGTTGACGCCTGTGCCATCTCTTTTGTATATTAAACAGATCACTTCTACAAAATAAAAGACGACATTATTATCATATGATACATTATACATCTTTACACCACAAAATATCATATACACATATGTTAACTCTTCAAGTGGCAATGTGTTTTGATGTGCCTCACTGTTTTATTTTTGCCTTCCTGTATTACGTCAGACAATTTTACTAGTCAAGGGGAGAGTGCAATTACATGATCTGTTTTTACCAAGATCATTAATCTGAGCTTCTAAATTAAGTGTCATGTTTTCATATTCAGCAATGCAATTACATTCCCAACTAACTGCTAAAATATGTCAAACTATTATTAGCAAATTTTGTCATAATTTCTCACAGAGCAATCGCACATAATGGTTCCAATATTAGAAATGTTGCATGTTCTTGACATGTAACTATGAGATCATATACTGTGTAAAACTGCATAGTTTTATATAGTCTGTTCTGAATAGACAAATTATGTATGTGTGGGGGGCAGGATAGCGTAAGGCATGAGCTATTTCACATAGGCAGGCCGTCCAGATTTTATCCAGTAATTTTTTATCCACTGAAAAAGTGTGGGGGGGGGGGGCATGACCCCCCTGTTCTGCAGTCCCAGTAAGAAAGTAGCTGGTTCATTTGGATACATTGCAGTTTAATGGGCTGACTATATATCTCAGGGGCTGCTCATTGGCAGATAGTGTATTAAATTGACCCACTGAGAGGCAGCAGTAAGCAGTCTCCTCTTAATATCATCTGGCATTAGACAAACAGAGTAAAATAATAAAGAATGTCTTTTATATAGGGCTCATCAGGACAGGGCACATTGTCAAATGTAGGTGGGCCTCCTCTACTCAAGTCTCTCTTAGTCTTGTGCTTATATACCGTAACAGTATATATACTAATTCTGCATTATGATGGGCAAGTATATAAATTTCACACCATATTAAACCTTTATGTAGTATTTAAAAAACGAGCAGGAGTGTTTTATTAGGTTTAAAGCCACGAGCGCGCAGCGCGAGTGGCTTTAGACCTAATAAAACACGACCCGCGAGTTTTTTAAATGACTTCAAAAACGTATGCATAATAAGTCAAATCTTTATATAAAAATCTTTATATAAAAACATTTATATAAAAATCTTTATATAAAAATCTTTATATAGTTTGCATAACAATGGTCTTTTGTTAAAGTGTTCTTTAGCTGGTATAAAGACGTATGCACGTAACTAATTTCTTACTCAAGATTGGATAATTGCTTCATGAATTATTAATGAGTTTTTGAAAAACATGTAAACAACCACAATTTATACAAGTAATTAAAATTGTCAGTCTGGCAATATTAAAACCACAAAGGGCAGGCCAGTGCTGACACTGAAAACAACATAATTTCATGTAGCACACAATATTTAATCATTAACAATATTTTTATGTATGAAATATTTGCTGTATATATTAATAGGATGATGAGTTTTTGACATAATATGAAGGGTCTAGTGGACTGAGTGTCTCAGACTAGCTAGTCGGCTAGAAAGTTTAATACAAAAACGTTTTGTGAATCTTACCTGAAAGAATTTATAGTCCTTCTTTTTAGTTTCTCTGTAGTAAAGTGCTGCATCCACAAGCGAAGCAAACCGGCGTTGTAAAACAAATAATGTGCGAGGGAAATATTAAGATTTACGATCAACTGTATTTCGAAGTTTGGGCGACTTGATAACATGCCCAAATGCTGTTTTGGAAATTTCCCTTAATTGAAGTCATCAAAAGCCCGACTCATTATCCTCAATATTTCTTTCAAAATTCAACTATACAAGCCTAACAAGTATTCGTACGATACACTAGTTACTACTTCGTCGTTACAGTGCATAACCATCCTCAAGAATTTCGTAGTTAATGAAAAAACAGCGAAAATACAACAGCAGGAAAAATCACGCTCCTTGTCAACCTTTGCAGAAAAGCACGCTCGTGCCAGCCCTTTTTCGCATCACACATAGATCAGCGCGAAATCAGCGCGTTTCGCTGCCCTATATATAAGCGCCCTGGAGAGTGCCGAACTTGAGAATGAGACGCTGCATTTCATATTTTTTTTCGCTATCTTAGCGGTGCCGCTATTAAACTGATGTCTGGCAACTGGTTGATTGGCATTATTACTAATGACATCTCGCCGATTCTCACCAGTCACAGTGTTTTAAACATAATATTACGAGCCGCCTGTTCCATATCTGAAATGATAAAATGGCCTCATTTCCACGGCAGCTTGGTACTGTCTAGACTTGCCACAAGTCGACCTCGAACGAACCCCCTGTTAATTGATAGCCAATAACTCAGCCGCCTGTTAATTTATAGCCAATAACTTATTCACATTTTTTGGCGCGAAATGCAATTGAAAACCCTGCAAGTATGACAAGTCGACTTCGCGCAGGCAACTTCGTCGCTCGCGTTTCGTTCGAGGTCGACTTGTGGCAAGTCTAGGTACTGTCCATCCCCATGGTGTCAATGTACATTTTATTATGTTTAGTTATATCTTTCCTTTCCTAACTTTAATTCTCAACTTATTCCTTACTTGTTTCATAATATTCCATAGGTTTTTTTAATTCCTTTTCCTCAGCAATATTTTTTGTAATGTAATTTACATTTTTGGTTACAGTTTGTTTGATCAATTACATCAGATTAGTCTTTTTTGTCATGTGGTCGCTTTTATATCCACTAGCATATAAAAGCACGTGTATACTTGCAATCCGCATGCCACTAAATTCCAAATGAAGGGCCTTCGCTTGAAGCGTCGAGGATTTGCTGATATATTTCAGAAGACTGAATCCTTCTTAATCCATTTACTTTGATTATCTAGATCTGTTTGTTGCATCGTTTGTTTATTTGTTGTTTCTATCTTTGTGATTTTTTGTTAGTTGGATGGATGGTCGTTAGTTTGTTGGTTGGTTGGTTGCTTGGATGACTTGTTAAGCTCTCTGCAATGTTTTGAAATAATTGTGTGTATTAAATCAAATTAACCAAACTTGACTGGCAGGAATTTCATTGTGAAAGAGAGAAACGTGTTGATAAAAATTATTTCATTAACGTTAACCACGTCAAGTTCAATTTCAGTTTCGAAACCTATAGCTCCATTCAGAGTATCTTATCCTGCTTTCGCTGATTTTGGCAACAATTAATATGCTGCTGAGAACCTACGTTAGTTACTAAATTGGTAAGTTGAATAGTGGGCGCGTTTGATGCCATTGTTGGTTCGTTCCGCACTGCTTGTTAACTGACAAGTTCGTTCGTTCGTTCGTTCGTTCGTTCGTTCGTTCGTTCGTTCGTTCGTTCGTTCGTTGGTTTGTTTGTTTAATTGCTGATTGGTCATTACGTCTTTTAATATGTTTTCGTGATTGGTTGTTTCGTTTCATGGCTGGTTAGAATAGAATAGAATAGAATAGAAACTTTATTTCGCTGGGAAAAACGTATTAACCATAAAAGTTATCTAACATACGGCCCTGGCACTATTTTGATACTTACAGGCGTAAAAATATTAAAGATTACGACTATTTACATATGAGAAAAAAAATTAGTAATGAATACAATTACAATTTTTAAAATTTTTTTTTAAATTTTCGTCCTGCGGTTAGCTAGATTGCTTCTTGTTTATTGAATAGCATTGTTGTTCTTTCTCACTCTCTTATACATCATTGTTATCCCATTTGCTTTTTGTTATTTTGTTTCTGACTGCAGTCGGTGCCAGAGTATTTGCCCGCTGGACAAATGGGTTGTACTACAGAAGTTTCGTCAGTGAGTCCACTTCGTCGTCAGTCGCAGTAACTTATGATGACGGAGTTAAAGCTGCCCTTTCAAAGAATGACAAAGCTGCCATCATCCTTGACAAGATCCCAGAAGAGGACCAGGTCAAGATAGACCAGAAGGTGATTGGTTATTGGCCAAGTGACGGGGAATATTACTTAGGATATATCTCACAATTATGTGATGACGGAAGCAAGTATTTTACTAAGTTTGACGATGGAGGTGAACGTTGTGAAGCGATTTACGAGATACGCACCGTTCCTTAGTTTTTTCAAGAAATGAGGCATCGTGACACTTGATACTGCATTTTGCTAAATGAGTAGACTAGGCTTACCTTGAGCTTGAAACTTTGAAGACATTCCTAGTGTGTATAATGATTGTTTTGTAAATAACATTTGACTTAATAATTGTTTTATGAAATTTAATTTGTTAGTCTTCATCGATTTTTTGTTGCAATTTTTCAGGATCAACAGTTTCTGAGAAAGATTTTTGACCAAAAATTCTCTGATTTTCATTTGCGGCGTTGTTGCGTAGTAGCGAGCGGGTAACGGAATGTACAAAAGCGTGGTTGTTTACTGGCGAGATTAATATGCATGAAATGTCACATAATTTATAAGGGTTGGATAAGGGCCGCACAATGTGTCGCATGAACATGCATTTATAATAGTGTCCAAAACGCGCAGTTACATAGTGACAAGAGTATTAATTCGCACAATTAATATGCAAGCCATATATTATTATTATTATTATTATTATTATTATTATTAATGATTAATAACACATCATCGCGTGAAACGAATTACAATTATTACATCACCAATTTAAGGACAAATTTGCAAATCCTAACTATATTACAATGTATCATTGAGATAAAAAACTGTGCAATTAAGAAATTTATATTTGTTTAAGATATTAATCATGCTAGGGAAGAAACTGTTCCAAACCTGTCAGTTCCACATTTAAAAGTAGAGAATTGTTCTAAATTCCTTAAATTGTATACCCATGGTTAGACATGATAGGGGACCACCTAGCGCAATATATTTCATTGTTTTCTCACAAAGTTCACTTCGACGTACATGTATATCCGCCAAGGACATGACTGAAGCATTTCTTACGCTTCACTGTAAGATCGATCGGTCTGGCAGAATAATCCTCCTTGCACTTGTTTTGAATTTTCTCAACTTGTTCAGACAAATACCTAGGCAGACGGCAATACATACGCTGTACAGGTTTTAAGATGCTCTTTCTAGCCCTGGTAATGGATTAGGTTCTTCTTGTCTAAATCCAAATTTCGTCTATAGCTGGAATCATTCATTGTATGTCCCATAAAGTTAAGTGATCGAGTGGAAAACTGGCATTTCTTTCCAGAAAGTTTAAATCCCGCATTTCTAAATGACCGCAGTGGTCTCTTGATCCCTTGTAAATGATCTTCAAAATTTGAATGAAAACCTATGACATCATCTTAATGTCATCTCAACATGTCTTCCGCCTCTAACACTAATTGGAGCATATCCTCCACCACCGATCGGAATATGTCAGAGGAATGTTAATTTTTTACTTGGATTTGATGTACTATAGGCTTTAAAGTATGTCCACTAAATAGCTAGTTAGATAAAACATTACGATGAGCTTTTGGTATATTTGCAAAATAAACATTTTGACGTCATAACACTGAGTAAATCTAGGCTAGACGATAGCATACTGAATGGAGAAGTTGAAATCCCTCGTTATGATATTGTTAGGCGTGATCGAAATAGAAACGGAGGAGGGTTAATACTAAAAATCCACATGAATTCACATATGTGATTTCATGTGAAAACATGTGATAACATGTGAAATTATGTGATCTTATGTGACATTTAACATGTGAAAAAATTTCACATGTAATCACATGTGACATTTCACATGTGAAAGGATTATACATGAAATCACATGTGACATTTCACAAGTGAAAGGATTTCACATGAAATGATATGTGACATTTCACATGTGAAAGGATTTCACATGAAGTAAAAAGTGAAATTTCATATGTGAAAGAAATTCACATATAGTTACAAGCGATATTTAATATGTGATTCAAAGGCTTTCACATGAACGGTGGATTATCAGGGTAACTAAAATTCCCGGTTAGATCGCGAGACACGGAACCGTATAAATCAATGAATATTGATAGGTTTTTATTCGACCTAGTAAGTAACTATAAGGAATAATAATTGTAAGTATAGAATAACAAATAGTGCCTGATATATACCTGTCCGCTCTCTTCGAGTTATATACAGTATAATTTCATTAAATGAGACTTACTTCTTTGCTAGGTCTTTGCAGTCTACTCTTACTGAGACTTAATAGAAATAGAAATAAAAATACAAATACAAATACAAATACAAATACAAATACGGATACAGATACAGATACGGATATGGATACAGATACAGATACAGATACAGATACAAATACAAATACAAATACAAATGCAGGTTAGCTTCCGACAGAGGTTAGCATATCTCCTTCGTTTAACACTAAAAGTCTTTATCTCAATCTATGTAAATAAATGTGCGTCAAATTACGTGTCAATCAGGTTAATCTCATTGGTCATGCATTAATTTAATTAGTTAATAATTATCCCGTAAATTATAAAGTTCTGTCAGCGACACATCCTCCGCCTCCATAAGAACTATGTTCTTATCAATTATTTTCTTCTGCGTCTTCCACTGGCCGGATCACTGCGATCTTGGTCACGGGTCTCGAGTACTCTCCTAACGCCGTTTTTACCTTGATGTTTCTAACTTTACCGTCTTTTCCTGGATGCACTTTAACTACGCGTCCGACATTCCACTTTCCTCGTACTGCATTTCCGCCCGCTACGATTACCATATCATTAACCTGTATATTTCGTCTCTCTACGTTCCATTCTTCTTTCGGTAACTGAAGGAACGCTGAACCGTTCTTCCACCTCCCTGATAATTCATCAACTGGTAAACCTCGTGATATATCGTCTGCAACATTATTCTCGGTAGGGATGTGTCTCCATTGGACAGGTTGGACCTTGCTCTGTATTTCCCTGACACGACTTGAAACAAATGGTTTGAGCCTTTTTCCTTTCATACCGATCCAGAGGAGGTTGGACAGCAGGCCGCAAAGCATCATAGGTATTGAGCGCCTAATTCCGCGCGTGGCTTCATTGACTGTTGACTGTCGAGGAGTGAACATCTCTCTAACTAAATTAATATGGAAGCTTTCGAACGACAAGAGTGTCAGGCTGCGATACTTTGTGAAAAGAAACAGCATGTTATTGCTGTATTGTTGCGATCATCATTATGATTTGTGTTTTACTATATCAAGTTTACCTTTTTTAATTTAAATTGCATGGGACGTGCTGTCATTTTAGCTTTATAAATAATCCGTCTGAGAAAAGGAATTGTTTAATTTTATATTTCCAATAGCGAGGCTCTTCTTTCTAAGTTGCTATGGCGTTAAATCTCCGTGTATCATCAACGTGAAAACAAGCGCAGTATTTAAGGTTGGTATACTACAATGCATTACAGTTATCGTGTTATTTTATAGTCAAATTTCCGCTTTGTTGTTTTTATTCTTGTACTGTAATTTTATAAATACACTGTACAAAATTATGGCGTCATACTTGTGTTTATAATGCCTCTAATTTGACCCTATTATGTGTGTATATGTACTGTGTCACTGTGATACATATGTACATGTTTTGAGTTAAACGAATTGTTTAATACATTTTTGCTGAAGTATGATACCTGTTTGTATGGATAGATTTTTACATATATGTGCACTGTGTATAGTTTATACATTAATTGGTTCTCAGATGAGTCTGAAGGTATATTGTTATTCAGTTATTTGTATGTATTGTTTTATTTTGTTTTTATATACATTTCGCTGAGTATGATGCCTGTTTGTATCGAGTATGTATGTATGTATGGTTGTGAGAATATAATTTTAGAGGTTACATGTTTGCTAATTTTAGAGATGATAATGTATCAAATAATAATTTTCTTGTTATGATTTTGTAGAAAGAGATTTACTTGAGTGGTTGGCTGGTCTTGAACGTGTTCAGGATGGATATGATAATGAAAGAGGTGATCAAGGTGATAGGGCAGAAAGTGATGACGTTTAAGTGAGAGGATGAAAGTGATGAGGAGGAAATCACCCACGCTGTAGCATTCAAGTGCATCGGTGATGCTCGTGAGAAAAAATTCCAACATCATTTGGAAAATTAAATTAAGACATAATACCTCACTCTTCGTGAACAAGATAAAACAGTGAATGTAAGAATACGGCTAGCACCATTGAATCCAAGGGACCCAAGTGCAATAGGCAATTCCAGCTTTTAGTTTATTTTATTAAAATTTTTCAGCATAATCAGCAATATGATACTTTACTTCCTGTTGCCCCCTGCACACATAAATTAAAAGCTGGAATTGCCTATTGACTAGACTATGGAACTGGATGACAACATGTTGGTTATATTGCTTTTCAACTATGCAAGTATTTGCACCCACTAATTGCTGCAGATGTCGTGGATGTCCATTGTCTATGTTCAGTGTATCAAGTATAGGGTTGACTTTTTTAATTAAAAAGGGTGGATTTTTTATTTTTTTTTAAAGGAGGGGTGGAAACCTTTCAGGGGGGGAAGCAGCACCACTGAGTGAGCTTTTTACACAGGTTTGGCATTAGGGTTAAAGACTTTTGAAGCAAAATTTTGGTGGGGTTCAACACTTTATAAGATGGGTTAGAGAGATTCTAAGGGGGGGGGGTTAACCCCTCCCCCCCAGTAAATCCGCCCATGATTTAATCCAAAAATGTTCATGAAACCTGGTGAGTGGAGACTCATTGGTGGTAGGAAAAAGTATGAGTGTATGTTGACAGATGTTTTTATATAATAAATAGCAATTAGCTATGTTTAGCAAGTTATTAGTGCATTTATTTCAATTGGCTAACTTTTTTGTTTTTTTCCAGCATTTTTAAACAAACCATATGTTATAAATGATATAACTGGGTATATCTAATTGAAACAATCTGTCATGCACACTCATGCAAATAAGACTAAGTACATAAATAACAACCTCGTACCCAGGGGAGAAAAGACCCTGGTAGATGCTGGTCACATAATCTGCTAAAATCTTGCAGATTTTTAATTAGCAATCCAAGATGAGGTCAATAAATATTTGATATTTGGATGATTTTTATATGTTAATTCATAATTTGCATTTTGTATATGATTGTCATAAAGAATTCAAGA